TCAGATCATTTAATCACAGCAGTGAAAAAGCTGACTAAAACAGATACACATTAAATTAAAAAAAAAAAAAAAAAAACTTATTGCACTTCTATCAGTCATCCATGCACTTTAAGAAACAATACTCAACAATGAAAGCACCAGGGGCACCTTTCAGAGTTCCTTGCATCGGCACAGGTTCAGCTGCAGCCGACTTCAGGGTCAGAGGAACTGGTAAACTGGTTCCAGAGCATTCTCTCAGATAGCACCGCTTCACCAAATGTCCTCATACCCAGCAATCGCATCCTACCCTCTACAGAGACACTTACAAGAGAGAAGGCTATCCTTTACTTCCCTGGATGACACAGAGGCCACTTGACACATCTTTAGAACAAGAGCTGGCTCCTGCCCTGGCTGGTCTAGGAGGATCCCTCCCCTCCAACAGTCCCTGGGGACTACCAGCACCTTCTGCACTCTTACCCAAGCCAAGCGAAAGGAACTTGAGGTTCCACTTCTTTATTCACTTTGTCAGGTGGCAGAACCATCAGACAGAAGGTAGATTTCAAACAGAAATGTTGCCCACATGACCCTATTGTTCCAAGAAAGAGCCCATCAAAACAGAACATTCTGTAATGGAGACTGTCGTTAAGAGAAAATTGGAGTCTAGTACCATATGACCTGTCAGGCCACAAAAGGACTCTTATTTTTTTCTTTAAAGACTTATAGTCAAAGTCCTGGTTTTGTATGTGACCTAAGACCAGGAACTGGTAAACTGAAAAATGTGAGGGCTACATAACCCCTCCCTCCTGTTTTCTCAGAATCTCCACCACAGAGCCGTGGTGAGGTCTGACTGAACAGAACTCTATTCCAAGGGCTGGAACAGCTCCCTGCACACTCCACTCTCAATGACCCTCAGCACAAAGAAGTGACAGCGAGGGGGCCCTGCACACACTGAGGTCGGGCTTGGTGGCACCACAGCAGTGCTGATTGCTCACCTCTCTTCCCAGCCCCACCCTCAGGGCATCAGGCTGGCAGCTGTTGTGAGCTGCCCCACAGTCCCAACTCCGCAGAACCCAAGATCTGCTTTCTGCCCCAGAGAGCAAGCTAGGCAATACTCTACTAGGTTAAATGTGAGGATTCCACCTGGTCCGACAGAAAAAGCAGCATGAGCCTGTGGGGACGAGTATCTGTGCTCAGAGGGCAAACACAACACGTCTATTCTGGGCACAGACTACTGGGGAAAAAAATACCCCCCCAAAAAACAAACCCCTTATTTTAAAAAGGGGGTAAACAGGTGAACAAAAACCCAAAGTCAGAGGTAAAAAGAATAGCCACAAATATAAAGGTAAATTAAAATAATCGTGAAAGGATACTTTAATGAATTCAAAGAAGTCCTAAGCCATCTGCAGTTGTGGAAGCACAGCCACCTTAGCCCTGTGCACAAGCGGCTCCGGCCTCTCTTGCCTCAGGCTGCGTGGCTCAGAGGCATCTGCTGGGGAAGGAGTGCATGCCTGTCCCCAGAACAGACAGCTCCTTTAGGAGTTTTGACCCAGTCTTCCCTTCTCTGGGTCAAAACTCCAGGCCTGACACATAGTTAGCATCTTTTATGGATTTGCTGACTAAACAAATAAATCAATTTTTTCTCAAACCCCACAGTGCACGAGCAAGCCAGACAGACTCTGCCAGGGGTGCTTCCAGGCAGGGTGGGAAATTCCACTGGTCCCCAGCATTTACTCTCTCTGTCTTCAACAGCAACACCTTTCTTAAACCTACGTTTTCCACCTTTCTTGCAGCCATCTGTAGTTATGTGACCAAACTCTAGTCAATGACATGTGAGAGGAAGGAACTAGAACCCAAGTTCTCACTTGGCATGAGAGCTCCTGTGGTTCTTGTGACCCTTCTGTCCCTGAGAGACCAAGAGGCAGAGCAGCTACTCTGGATCCACAGATTGAGGAAGGGTGACTACCAGACCAATCTTTGTGAGAAAGAAAGGCCCCACTCAAGCCAGTGGTCTCCGGGATCTCTTTATAGCAGCTCAGTCTGTACCTTAATATAATCCAAACAACCTTCCTAACTTTTTCACCTGTGAACTAATATTTTTCAAAAAGTTCTAAGAGTCATTCAACAAGCCTGGCATATAAGTGCTCAACAAGTACAAGAAGGTGCCACATAATGACATCTCAGTCAATGACAGACAGCATGTATAACCTGGCCTCATAAGATCATATCACCTAGTGATGTTGCAGCCATCTTAATTGTATAAGGGAATTCCACAGTTTGCACACAATGAAATCACCAGGTGATGCATTTATCAGAATATATCCCAAAGCAAGCTGACTAACTCAATTTACTGAAAGAAGAAAGGAGGGATATGATGTCACTGACGCCTACTGTAAACTCAACAGTGTTCACTGCCTCCGCTTTTAAAATTAATACTTGCCCCTCATTTCCCAGTGACAGAGAAACAAAATCCCTGTATGGCTATGTATCTTAAGCACAGCAAAGATGATGAGATATGAAAAATGACAAACCCTAAAACAGTGTGGCCTGGGAAGAGAGAGTGAGGAGGAAGGCAACACATTGATAATAATATTGAAACTTTCCCAATACCTCCTTTCTCAGTGCTGAGACAATGCCTAGAAGCAAAGCAAACATCACCCAGTGGCAAGACCATCTCTGGGGAGGAGATATCCATCAAGCCTAGACTGGCAGTCTCTCAGAGGACGCCAAATAGATCCTTCTCAAAATAAATCCTTTCCCGGGATGGGGTTGTGGCTCAGTGATAGAGTGCTCGCCTAGCATGTGCAAGGTGCTGGGTTCGATCCTCAGCACCACATAAAAATAAATAAATAAAATAAAGGTATTGTGCCCAATTACAATCAAATCAATCAATCAATGTGTGTGTGTGTATGTGTGTGTGTGTGTATATGTGTGTGTGTCACACACAAATAAATAAATCCTTTCCCAGTGACAGTACAATGGGACCCTGGAGGGAAAGAGATACATACTGAACACTGACCCCAGGCCCTCCATTAGACACACTCTGTCAATAATCAAGTCACCTCTCAGTGTAACCATATAAGCACAGACTCCCCCTTTGGCCAGGAGCTCATTTTCCACCGGAAAGTGGGTGCCTCCTTGGTGCTCTCATGAGGCAGATGGACAGAAGGGACGGGCAGACTCCCTCAAGTCCTTAGGTCAATTTCGTTGCTAAAGAAAGGCTCTGCTGATCCCTGAAGTTTGCATCTGGTTCAGTCCTTTTGTGCTAACAGATGAGCTGAGAAGGTTGTGTACTATTTATTCCCCTTCTCAAGGAAGGGGGCTCAAGGAACTCAGAACAAGAAGCTAAGAAACAAAACACAACTGGGCAGCAGCCAGGAGGTCCTTCCTGAGCACCAAAAGAGAAGCAAACTCCTTTCCTAGGGTTGGATGTGATTCTTTGGTCTTCAGTTGTATGTTTGGGAAATGTAGGTAACTCATAAAATTAATTGATTAAATGAAATTTTTAAAAAAATGAAATCAGCCAGGCCCGGTGGCCTATGCCTGTAATCTCAAGAGACTTGGGAGGCTGAGACAGGAGGATCACAAGTTCAAAGCCAGCCTCAACAATGGTGAGGTGCTTAGCAACTAACTGAGACCCTGTCTCTAAATAAAATACAAAATTAAAGCCGGGGATATGGCTCAGGGGTCAAGTGCCCCTGAGTTCAATCCCTGGTACAAAAAAAAAAAAGAAGAAATTCATTTTTTTTCCAAAACAGAATGAGATTTCCAAAGGAACTCATGATGAAAGAGCATATATTCCAGAACCACAGGCAAAAACCAATACACTGAGCAAACCTACCAATATCAAGATGCTTTTCCTTCCCAGTGCTGGGACTCAGACACGGGCCTTCCGTATCAAAGGCAGGCAAGCACTCTTCCACTGAGTGACGTCCCCAACCCTAATGTTCATTTGTATTTACTAACATATTTGTTGTTAACCCTTTCTTGAATCTCAGTTCTTCACCTGGGCTATTGTTTGGTGGGGGGAGTGGCAAAAGGACAGCCAGTGAAGGTAATAAATAATCGGGCCCAATCAGAAATATGGGGGCTTATTCAAGAGGAAAGAAAATAAAATGCCAATCTCTCCAAAGCCCTTCTCCCTCCTCTTCCATCTGCTGCCAAGGCTGTGTTTCAGGGAAGCGTCCCTCCCTGCCGGGCTGTGGGATCGTCACTGAAGCACCTCCTGGGTGGCTCCTTTCCTGCCCATCTGGCAGATGTGGAGAGGCACCCCTGGAAGGCTGCTTCCCCACCTTTTGACCACTAGTCATTTAGACAAGATAAAGGGGAAGCAAGGTGTGAGAACCAAGGAAATCTAAAACCTGTAAAAGGGGTAGGACACCCCCACTTCCTCAGACACCCAGCTCTGAGGCCCCTTCTCTTCAGAGAAGTCCACCTCTGTTCCACCTTTAAATAGAATCTGCTTTCTATGCTTGCCTCGGTGTTTCTTGGGTGTTCAACCTTCAACATCTGGGGAAATGGAACTTGGCCCTGATTCTCATCAGTGGCATCAGTTTTCTGCCTAAGACCCACCCTTTGGAATCATATTTAGTAAAGGGCTATGTTTTAGTCCATTCCTGCCAAGTAGCACAGACAGGGAGATTTACGAGCAACACATGTGTTTCCCATCATTCTGGAGGCTGGGAAGTCTAAGATCCAGGCATCACTGGACAGATGTCTGCTACGCGCTTCTTCCTCACAGAGGAGCCTCCTTGGTGCTCTCATGAGGCAGATGGACAGAAGGGACGGGCAGACTCCCTCAAGTCCTTAGGTCAGCTGCAGCTCTCATCCACCAGAGTAAAGCCCGTGTGAGTTAATCCCCTCCCACAGAACCCGCCTCTTAACACCACTGCACCAGGGATCAGGTGCCGACCTGGTTTTGAGGGACACACACTTAACCACAGCTGGGTGTTAGTAACAAATTCAATTTCTGTTTTCCTTAAAATGTCTTTATTTCATCCTAATTCTTCTTTTCTTTGCCTTGGTCTCTGTCATAGTCCTCTTCACTTTTCTGCTACTGAGGCCATAGGGGAGGTTCAGAAGAAGTCATGTCACTGAGACTCGCCCTTATTCTTGAAAGACAGTTTTGCCTGGTAGGAAGTGAAGGTCAGCCGTTGTTGCTCTCAGCATGAAGACTTCAGCCCACTGGCTTTCCCACTGTTGCACTTAACATGCTACAATGTGGGTCTGAAGTGTTCCCCAAAGGCTCATGTGCGAAAGACTCTGTCACCAGCCTTTGGCACTACTGGAAGGTGACAACCTTTAGGAGGTAATACCCAATGGAAGGAAGTTAGGTCACTGACGTGGTGCCCTTGGAGAGGACACTGGGACCCAAGCCCCTTCCTTTCTCTTTCTCCTTATATCCAGTCACCACATGCTCTCTTGCACGATATTCTGTCTCCCCACAGGCTCCAAAACAATGTGGGCAACAGTACAGGAACTGCAACCTCAGAAACAAAGAGCCAAAATAATCTTTCCTCCTTTTGTTTTATCTCAGATATCTTGTCACAAGCAATAAAAACTAACACAAACCGTCCTCTTAACTGTGGCTCAAATTAAGTTAATCTGTCTTCTTCCTCTGGTTTAAGATCCCTTTCTGTCTTTGGTGCTTTGATGTTTTATTCTGTTTTGACTAGCTTTAATTTTTTTATTTATTCATTCTCCTTATGATTCATCATTCGTTTTCTTGAATCTGAAGACTTGTTGTTTTCACCAATTGTAGAAAATCTTTAGCTTTTATCTTCTCAAATAATAAATCTGACTGTTCTCTCTTCTCCTTTTAGAACACCAAAAAAATTTACATTAGATATTCTCCCTCCATGCTCCATGCCATGGAACCTCTATTCTGTATTTTTAAATTTTTTTTAGTTGTAGATGGACATAATACCTTTATTTTATTGATTTATTTTTTTGCAGTGCTGAGGATGGAACCCAGTGCCCCACACATGCTAAGCGAGAGCTCCACCACTGAGCCACACCGCCAACCCCTCTCCTGTGTTTTTTGCTATGTTCTCTGCTTCATTCAGTGTGATTCCTGTGACCGGTTTTCTGGTTCACTGTTCTTCTCTTTGCTGCGTGTAATTTGTTGTTAACCCTACACATTAAATTCTTTTTGACATGGGCTTTTGCTACATTGCTCAGGCTGGCTTCAAACTCCTAGGCTGAAACAACCCTCTGCCATAGTCTGCCACCGCCACGCCCAGCTCTTCTGATACCTGAAGCCCAGAGGGGCTGTTTCTGCTGGTTCTAACCGATGGTGCCTTTTTTCCTGGTGTGCCTTGTCATTTTTGTCTGTGTACTACTAATCAATGTCCTGAAAAAAATTATCAGGGATTAAGTGCCAACCTTATTTTGAGGGACACACACTTAACCACAGCTGGGTTAATGAATCTTAGGATGAAGATAACTTTCTCCATCTCCTGCAGGATGCCTGAAGGCATTATCAAGCCAAAACACCATAAATTCAAGCTTGATTTTCCTGAACCACCACAAAGTATAAATCCAGGCTCAAAATCCTAATAAAAGCTAATCCATAACAGACAGATTTACCCCTTTTCTTTTTTCCTTCTAAGTGCAGGAAAAGATAGCCAACTGGGGACAGGGACCGGAGTGAGGGCACAGGCCTCAGTGTATGCTAACCCCAAGGATATGGCCCTCCAGAGTTCCAGCGAGTGTAGGGAGGTCTGCTGGAGGCTTTCCACCTTGAGAGGCCACAGAGCCTAACTACTCTTCTTGACCTATAAATCCTCTAAAAATCAAAAGCTCCACTTTGTCCAGAAGAGCAGATGCCTTCAGAGCACCGGCAGATTCCATCCTATGGAGCTGTCTACCAGCTCTTACATTCTGGTAGACGTTTTGAATAATCTTTATTATATTAAATAATATTTCTCAGCTCCTACATTTTGATTTAGAAGTTCCTTTAATATGTTCAGTTCTTAGATTGTTTTTTTTTGTTGTTGTTGTTATTGTTGTAGGTGGACACAATGCCTTTATTTTTATTTATTTATTTTTATGGGGTGTTCAGGATCGAACCCAGTGCCTCACCGGCACTAGGCAAGCACTCTATCACTGAGCCACAACCTCAGTCTTTTTAGATTTTTTTTAAAATACTTATTTTTCAGTTTTTGGTGGACACAACATCTTTATTTTGTTTTTATGTGGTGCTGAGGATCGAACCCAGCGCTCAGCGCATGCCAGGCAAGCGCGTTACTGCATGAGCCACATCCCCAGCCCATTAGATTATTTTTTAATCCAACCATTTAAATTGTTTTCCATAGGCTGGGGGAAAAATTATATTCTCTCATCAAATTCAGGAATTATACTACTCTCTAGTAGCTTCTATTCATACTGGTATCTGTTGTCAGCTTAGTTGGTATTCCCTTTTTTTAATTTTTTATTAGTTATTGATGGACCTTTATTTATTTATTTGTTTATATATGGTGCTAAGAACTGAACCCAGTGCCTCACACATGCTAGGCAAGTACTCTACCAATCCCAGCCCCCAGAAGGATTTTTTTTTTAATATTTATTTAGTTGTAGATGAACACAGTATCTTTATGTATTTTTTTTTATGCAGTCGTGAGGATTGAACCCAGTGCCTCCTACATGCGAGGCAAGCACTTTTACCACTGTGCTACAGCCTCAGCCCCTGGTATTCCCTTTTAGATAATCTAACTTTTACCTCTAGCTTAATATCTTCTTTTTATCTTTGGTGTTATATAATTTCAATGTATGGGTATGAAGTTTGGGTTTTTTTTTAAATTTTTTTATTTTTTTAAATTACTTGGGACATATCATGCTTCATAAATCTATGGATTTGTGTCTTTTATTAGTTGTTTTTAAAGTTTGAAGTTATTAACACTTAAATAATGCCTCTTTTTTTTTTTTTTTTTTTTTTGGTGGTGCTATGGATTAATCCCAGGGCCATGGTCATGGCCATATGCATGTGAGGCAAACATTCTATCAACTGAGCTATATCCCCAGCCCCTTCCCATATGTTTTTAATCTGGAATTCCAACTTCATTTTACATCATCTTTCTTTCTTTTTCTTTTTTTTTTTTTTATTTTTGTACTGGGATTGAACCCAGGGGTATTTAACTACTGAGCTATATTACCAGCCATTTTTATTTTTTATTTTGAGACACGGTCTAAGTTCCTCAGGGCCTTGCTAAGGTACTGAGACTGGCCTTGAACTCACAATCCTCCTACCTCAGCCTCCTGAGTCGCTGGGATTTACAGGTGTGTGCCAGTTACATCTTTTTATTCTAATGTCTATTTCCTCTCAATGTCACTGTTCACCTCCCATCTCTCAGTGCTGCACTCTGGATAATTTTTTCAGTTTATGTTCTTTTTACTAATTCAATCTTCATCTGTGTTTAATCTGTTTAGTTTACATTTTGTCTTTCATTTCTACTTTTCTATAAGTTCTGATTGGGTCATTTTAACACTTCACTTTTTGTTACTGATTTTTATTCTAGTTTGCATTTACTCAAACATTTCAAACATAATTATTATTTATACTGCATTTGATCATTCAATGTCTGTAGGCCATGGGACATCTAATTATGTTCTCTTCCTCATAATGAAGTGAGAGAGAGACAGAATGTGTGCATGTGAGTGTGTGTTCTGACTGTAAGCTCAAGTGTACTTAATTTTAATCTGTAGAAATTCTAAGGATCTAGGGCTGGGGTTGTGGCTCAGTGGTGCAGTGCTTGCCTAGCATGTGTGAGGCACTGGGTTCAAGTCTCAGCACCACATATAAATAAATAAAGTCCATTGACAATTTAAAAAAAATTTTTTTTAAATTCTAAGGATCTACACCAAGCAACTTAGAGAGATCCTATCTCTAAATAAAATTTAAAAAGGGCTGGGGATGTGGCTCAGTGATTGAGCGTCAATGGTACAAAAAAGCAGATCTTGTTTGGATCCAATTAGAACGGTCATCTGGAAAAAAATTATTTGTTATTAGGAAAATATGAATATAGACAGATACTAGAAGAAATTAAGGAATTATTATGTTCTCTAATTTGCAATAATAACATGGTAGTTTTATTTTCAAAGATAAAAATTGTCCTTATCTGCTAGGGAGAAGTATTCACGATAAAACAACATTATTTCTGGGATTTGTTTTTAAAATACTTCACCAGAAAACACGAACTAAAAATATATGAAAGAAGGAAGACAGAAAGAAAGAAAAAGATATCACTGTTAAAACTGGAGGAAGAATACATAGATACATAAAAATACAGAAACATAATTAGTATTTTTAAAGTTCCTATAAAAACCAAACAAAAGAAATACTTAATGTTGTGCCAATAACTCAGATATATTAGTATTACCATCTTCTAAAACAGGTAATTGTTTTTATACCTGACATTTCCTAATTGAAATTACTAACTAAATAACTCAGAATTAACTTTTCAGCACTGTATACAGTTTTTGTTTTGTGTTTTTGGTGGTGCTGGGGATTGAACCCAGGTCCTTGTGAATGTGAGCCAATCATGCTACCAACTGAGCTATACAGTTTTTAAAATAAGGAAATGTTTCTATAATGTTGACTTTAGACCTGTTTATTCTGATTTTGAACCAATGGTTTAAATATCAAATATATCAAATATACACACACACACACACACACACACACATATATAAAATGTTTGGATCCTTTTTATGTCCTCAACTTCTAGGAACATAACATCTTGACAAATTCTGTTTAAGATACATCTTGACAAATTCTGTTCAATGTAAGTTGAAGGAAGAATGGTACCCATGTCCCTGAATAGCACAGTTTGAGAAATGAGTGACCCTGGAAAAGAGCAAGGCTCCTCCTTAGCTGGCAGCTGCCCTGGTAGCCTGGCCTTCACCAGCCTCCCACTGCAGCCTCCCACTGCAGCCTCCTCCCCACCCAGAATGTCCTCACCAGGAGCTCTTCCATCCCTTTCTTCTGGTCATGACCTCCAAATCTCGTTCTGCAGCCCTGGATTATTCTAGGGAGCTTTTCTCCCAAGCCTTATCCCTCTCTCCTTCCCTCAACATGACTATTTCTTTGATGCTCACTCAG